TTAATTGCAAGTCATGTATGACAGAAACACATTCCTTAAAATCAGATGGCTTATATCCAGTGTAATCTTGCAGTGCTTGGTTCTGCAAATTCAAGATCCAAATTAGCACATCCACACTCTCACCATACAAATTACCAGACAACATTTGCAGTGACACAATTTGCTTACCCAGGGATGCACTTCTGGTTTAAGTGTGAACCTTGAAAGGAATACAACAGCTGCAGCCACCATAGAAGGTAAAAACTTTACACAGCTATAGTCCAACAAACTCAACTCTGCTAGGTAGTAGCCCAAGAACTCAAACTGCAAATTTTGTGACTGCAGAAACAGAAGCAACAAAGATAAGCACTATTGAAAAGAAACAAAGCAGGATTAACCAATACACATCCTTAAGTAATGACTATAGGTTTCCCTCATCACTCAAAAAGAACCAAGAATGATGCTATATATATACATGGGGCATTTTATGAGTTGCAAACTTACTTTATAGTCTTCTTGAGCAATCTGGGTAAATCTTCTGCAAAATCCACAAAAGAGAGCACAAATATATTAGACAGGTGACTCTTAAAATACTTATCCACTAGTTCAAAGGTATATATAGTCAAGAGCAAAGATATAATGAATGTGGCATACCTGAGAAATGTCTTAATTGTGGGGTTTCCCAATTCAAACTTGAGGGCATTGAGCACATCTTCTTCCATCTTCACTACTTCTTGCTTGGTATAGGTATTGTCAGTAATGTAACAGAAATCTTCCACATGGGGAGGACTAATCTCCTCATATTTCCTGTCAATCATCACAAAAACATAAACTAATAAGCAACAGGAATCCTATATAACATAATGCCTAGAAAAACAATTCCAAACATGAGACATTGTTCTTACGATGCAATAAGCATTGATGAAACACCCAAAAGCTGAAGTTTTTGCCGGGAGAGGGGCCTTTTGGACAAGAATCTATCAATGTAGTCAATAGTTAGATATAGAGTATCTGAGAGAAGTTTGTATTCCTCTGCAACTTCCACCAGCCAGTCCACCAAAATCCCTCTCATGTTTGCACTGATATCCTTCTGAACCTTCTCAAGATAATCACCCAAAGGTCTTCTTTTCTCTTGCGCCTAATTACAGAAACTCAATTCATTCAATACCCATATCCAAATACTACCTAGAATAATAAATAAATTCAATAAATGTAAGTTTAGGGTTTTAAGTTTTAAGTTCCATATCTAAAACAGATATGATACCTCCATTTGACGCAGATACTCGTAGATATCAGAAACATAAACACTACACATCTGAGGGTCATCGGATTTAGAATCAATACCATTCTCCACCCCATTAGTCCCTTTCTCCACTTTCACAATCTTCTTAACCGCCTTCTTCACCTTCCTCTTCGCCTGCTTAGTCTTGGGACTGTGAAGTTTAGACCCCAGATTTTCAATCTGATTTGGAAAGTCATTGATCTCCCCCAACGCCACCCTCTTCTTTCCCGGTTGTTGTTCAACAATAAGTCCGTCTGCCGCTCTTTTCTTCGCCAAGCGAGTGACTCTCATGCAGTTTTCTTGGTCCGCCATTGCCACCTCTTCTGCCTTTCTGCTCCGATTCACAGGAATCCGAATCGAGAAGAAAGACGGAGACAGAGAGAGGGTTGTGACGGGTGAAGATGGGGAAGGGATGAAGAGTTTGGGGTGTATATATCCGCCATTTTTTTGAGGTTTTGAAAATTTTTGAGTTTAGAATTGCGCGCAGGTGTTTTCGTGCCAAAGAATGAAAGTTTTTATTTTTCAGGGAGTTGGGTTTTCGGGTAAGGAACGAAATTAAATGGGTAACTGAGATTCGGGGAAAGTTTTGAAATTTGGGTCAAAAGTCAAATGAATTCTTCTTTCGTTTTTAAATTTAAGCGCCGCTAGATTCTTTCCTATTTTCCCTCCCTTTGTTTTGCCCGAAATTTAATGATTAATTACTCCGTATTAATTAATACCGCCTCTATTTATGAATGTAAATCTAAAACGGAGATGGATATTTACGGATTTACCCTTAGACCGTTTGGTTCGCGGACAATATTTGAAAAGAAACGAAATTGAAATTTTATACAAAATAAATCATCATAAATATTAATTTTATTATTTGGTTGATAGAAATTAAATTATTCCATTGATTTCATTGTTTGATTGAGATTTGAATGTTAATGAATTATGAATAAATAGTATACAAACTAAAATGCACATAAATAATTATATTTTAAGAGTAAAATTATCAACTGATATGATTTTTTCTTCTCAATTTTCATGAAAAACAAAATACCGCCTACCCTCTTGAAAAACTTTTTCCTCAACACTAATGAAAATATTTTTCCTGTCAAAAAAAGATTTCGTCAACCAAACAAAAAGAAATTTCATTTTCTTCAAATTTAAAGAAAATTATTTCCTTATAAAAACTCTTAATTTTTTGTATTTTAATTTATTGAACAAATGCTATATGTCTACAAAAAATTATTAATCCAATAAATCAAATTTAAACTATATTTAAACTTTAATAATGGTCATTCTTTATTAATTAAGTTAATGCAATTAAAAGTGAACCATTTTTACGCAATATTGTTACTTTTTATTATATTATTACTTGTTAAAATTATTCAAATATTTTGTGAAATCCAACTATTATAATCAATACTATACTATTAGATTATATGTTATTGTATGTGAACGTTACAAGTTCAATTATTATTACCATTTTCTATAATAGTTGTAGATTTCACTCGACATTCAAAAACTATTACATGGCGCTTGACTTGCATAATACAAAGGATTGTAATAGTATTCTATATAATATGTTATTACACAATTTGGTTCGTTTATATAAATACGGAATAGAACTGTATAGAATTCAATATTTTATTTGTAATGGGAATAACCATTCTCAAAATCTCCTAATTGTATTAGCTATTTTTATCTCATCAATAATAGCTAATTATATTGAATACCAAAACAACTCATATGTGTGTTAGAGCGAAAATTATGCCATGGAAACGTGTTCACCGTGAATAGTGAACACAAGTCCAAACGACGTCGTTTTTACGCAAAAAAAAAAAAAAAAAAAAATCACGAATGTGGAGTTAACGGCGCGCGTTTGATCAAATTATGAATTTTCTGTTATGAGATTATGAATGTAATGAAAATTCATAATATCATAAAAGTAAAATATTTATTAAATTGTGAATTTTCTGTTATGAGATTATGAATGTAATGTAGATTCATAATCTCATAACAGAAAATTCATAATTTCATAACAAAAAATTCATAATCTCATAATAGAAAATGCATAATCTCATAACAGAAAATTCATAATCTCATAACAGAAAATTCATAATCTTATAACAGAAAATTCATAATCTCATGGTTCCAAAGTGAATGTGTAGGCATGGTTCCAAAGTGAATGTGCAGGCATGGATTCATAATTTATGAATGTCCGTGATTTCGGACGGGAATGTGTAGGCATGGTTCCAAAGTGAATGTGCATGTATGAATTCATAATTTATGAATGTCCGAAATCATTGCTCACCTCAAATTAAAGTGAAACCGCGAAATGTGAAAATGAAGAAGAAAAGTCACGCAATTAATTAAAAAAAAAAAAAAAAAAGATAACGGTGTACTAACACCGTTGGAACCGTGTTCACCAGTGAACACAGTTCCATGGCATAACGCCTCTGTGTTAGAGGTGGCCACACACCCGAGCCTGGTTAATACAGGCTAAGTCCTAGACTTAGCTCTTCATGAGTCGATTCTAGTGTTGGGCTTTGAGCAAATCCAAAAATGTAAATTATTTTTAAATTTATTTTTTATATATTTTTGTGTTTATTGTAAGATTCGGCAAATTATGCTATGCATCCGTATGCACAATGCATGGTGCATACGGATACAAAAACGACGTCGTTTTATTAAAAACGCGCGTTTCTTCTTTAAAAAAAATCAACTTCGATTCCCAGCAACAACATTATGTTGTTCATTCATTATGGAATTTTAGTTCATAGATTATGGAATTTTAGTTCATTGATTCTGGAATTATAGTTCATCGATTCTGGAATTGTAGTTCATCGATTCTGAAATGTTAGTTCATAGATTCTGGAATTTTAGTTCATTCATTCTGAAATTTTGAGTTCATAGATTAAATTATGGAATTATAGTTCATCGATTATGGAATTATAGTTCATCGGTTATGGAATTATAGTATGCACCATGCACCATGCATGGTGCATACAGATGCACAGCATAACTATCCCATGGGGCAAATTATATCATGCACCATGATGCATGATCAATCATGCACCGCGCGTCATTTTGTTAAATGAAAAGAAATGGTGTTTGTTTTCCGCCGTTCCACACCCTTTCGCAAAAAGTGACCCTGTTATTCAGTGTCATTTTGTATACACTGTAGTTTCAGTTCAACACAACTACAGTTTCATTTCGATATAACTATAGTTCCATTCGATATTTATAGACTCAAATAGGTGAAAATGTTATTTAATTTTATTTTATATATACTATAGTTTCATTAAAACACGACTACATGATCATTTTGATATAATTATAGCTTCATTGAACAATATACACTCAAATATGTGAAATGTTATTCAGTTTCATTTTATATACACTGCAGTTTCTTTTCACTATAACTACAGTATCATTTTGATATAACTGCAGTATCGGTTTAGATATACTGTAGTGTCAGTTAGTGTTTAATACACCAAATAAGCGGATTCCGTTAATTATAACGGCCCGCCGTTTCTTTACTTAAAGAAACGGCGCCGTTTTTGACCGCGGTGCATGTGTGCACCGCGGTCTATGATATAACAACTGGATACATGGTGATCTCAGTCTAGGATTAATAATGGTCAAATTGATGTTTTTTTTTTTTAACGGATTTAAAGCTGGTTTGACCCTTAATTGATTTGTGGTCACATCATCTACTCAAAGGTAACATTACTATATATAAGTCCGAAAATTGTTACATTAAACTAACTATAATGTTGATACTACTGCACACACTCTTATTTTATAATCGAGGCAAAGGTGTTACTCCCAGCACTATATAATATAGTATGATTAGGAATCATTAAGGTGAGGCTTTCAGGAGTGTGTCTTTGACAGATTTCAACTTATGAAGAGCATCTCTTATGGTTATGCGCCCAGCTGGAGAATCAAGAGCACAAGATAAACCAATCTCAACAATGGAGATCAAACAATTGCCTTGAATCTCCGAGCTAGCACACTTCCCATTTTGGCAATGGTTGTTCACTAGTGGAAGGAGATCAGTGTCTAGCAATTCATTTATCTTTTCGGGGAAATTCATTTTCACCCAGTCTCTTAGGCTCAACTCTCCCTTGAAAATGTCATTTGTTGGGCTCTTGCCGGTGAAGAGCTCCAGCAAAAGAATGCCATAACTATACACGTCTCCGGCCGTGGATGGTTTCTCCCCCAAGCCATACTCTGCAAATGCATATGTGTTGAGCATAATATATACAATTTTTTCTATTATATATTGTCTAATTATTAGTTTAAACTTTTACCTGGTGGTATGTAACCAATGGAGCCTTTGAGAAGGTGCGTGGAGCTAATAGAAGGTTGGTGTTCATCGTTTCTTCCAATCAAGAATCTAGCAAGACCGAAATCTCCGACCTTGGCAGTCATGTCCATGTCCAAAAGAACATTTCCGGGCTTCAAATCACAGTGAATAATGGGAGTTTCACATTCATGGTGCAGATAACTTAAGGCGCTGGCAACATCAATCGCCACGTTTAGTCTATCCAAAACCTTCATCCCATCTCCATTAGAGTTTCTTCTCTTTCTAGTAATCCAATCCTCCAAACTCCCATTTCCCATGAACTCAAACACCAGGGCTAAAAATTCCATGTTTTTGCAGTCTATGCTTGAGCATACTGTGATGAGTTTGACAAGATTCCGATGCCTCACACTCTTCAGAGCTGCACATTCAGCCGTAAAGCTCTTCCAATAACCCGTGATCCCCATATTCATGACCTTAACCGCAAGGGGTGTTCCTCCTAGAAGTGCTTTGTAAACAGACCCAAAGCTGCCACTTCCAATGAGATTTTCTTCTGTGAAATTGTCAGTTGCGAGACGGAGCTCCTCATAAGTAATCATCTGGTGTTGCTTATTCGGCCCAAATGATTCAAACAGGTTCTTGGTGGTTGCTCTGCTTCTTTTGATGTAAAACACCACACCCGCTGTGAAAAGTATTGCTAAAACTGCAATCAATGGTATTGCGATGTAGACGAAGGTTAATCTTCTTTTATGACGAGGCCTATTATTAATCCTGCAATATTTCAGGTCTGAAGCAAGATTTTGATTGCCTTCCAGATGAAACTTAGAGGGGTCTGCAAAGACCCCATTGCAGGGGACCTGGCCTTCCAAGTTGTTGTGAGAGAGATTCAACACCTGCAGGGCCTGCAACTTCTGCATATCAGTTGGAATTTGGCCGGAGAGATGGTTGGAGGAGATGTCCAGAGTTTCCAAACCTCTCAGGTCTGATATGGTGTCTGGAATCTGGCCAGAGAGCATATTATTGGCAAGAAACAGGCTCTCCAAGCTGTTACACTTCCCAATGGATTTCGGGATGTTCCCAGATAAAAGGTTGCCAGAAATGTCAATTGTGACAACATTCTCTAAGACCCCAATTTCTTCAGGCAAAGAACCGGTAAGATAGTTCTGGGAGAGATTAAGAAAAGCACCTAGACTAGGGAGTGTGAAAATCTGTTTTGGCAAGCTCCCATTTAACTTATTCTTGGATAAGTCTATGGAAAGAATACTCCTGAAGTTCTCAAAACTAGAAGGTATGCTACCCACCAACTCATTTTCAGACAGATCAATCTTATTTAGTTTTTGGAGATTGCCCAAGGAACTTGGAATCCCACCCGACAACCTATTTCCGGCCAATTTCAATTCCTGCAGATTCTCCAGTTGACCAATTTCAGGTGGTATCTGACCCGAAATGGAATTTTGATGTGCATCAAACAAAGTTAAGCCACTTAGCAGACCAAGTGAAGGTGGAATGGTACCAACGAAACGATTTCCACCCATGTACAGCTTTTGGAGGAGCTTGGAAAGGTTACCTAGGGAGTCTGGGATTACACCCTCAAGAAGATTGTAGTCAAAAGCAAGGAAATTTAAACGGGAACTGTTGGTTAAGGATTCAAGAAAGCTTAGACCATTTTCGCCGGAGCTGACAATCATGTTATGCCCGATATTGTACATCTCAAGAAAGGGTAAATTTCCCAGTCCTGGCGGTACAGTCCCGTGCAAAGAGTTGTTGGCCATGCGAATAACCTTTATGTTGGTTAGATTGTGCAGGGAGGCCGGGATTGTGCCTGTGAATTTGTTGAAGCAGAAGTTGAAGACGAGAAGATTTGGGAGGGTGACGCCAACATCTCCAGGCAAATCACCCCACAAGTTGTTGGAGGCTAACGCCAAGGTTTGGAGCGAAGACATGTTGTAGATGGAAGAAGGGACGGCGCCATTGATGTTGTTAATTGTAAGATCAAGCACCTTCAACAACCTAAGCTTGGCTAAATCACTAGGAATTTCACCAGCGAGGTTGTTTGTGGATAACCTTAGGACAGTGAGGGAAGAAACATTGGATATTGACGGTGGAATTGCACCGGAGAGATGGTTCCCCCCCAAACTAATGACTTGCAGCTGCCGGAGATTGCCAATCTCTCCCGGGATTGATCCCGAGATCTGATTATGCATCAGATCAAGAACCCTGAGCTCCTTGCACTGACTAATGTTAGGCGGTATAACGCCTTGAATGGTGTTGGAGCTGATGTTTAGAACCCGGAGACGAAAAAGATTGCCAATCTGATCAGGGAGGTTTCCTGTGAGCTGATTGTTCTGAAGCTGAAGTGATCTGAGGAACGAGAGGTTGCCCAGAGAGGGACTTATGGAGCCTGTTAGTGCAAGACCGGAAAGCTGAAGCCCGACGACTCGGCTCAGCTTCCGGTTACAGACAACCCCTGTCCAGTTACATGGAGAAAGGTTTATGTCCCAGGTAGATAACACAGGATTGTGTGTTTCTGTGTTTATGTTAGCCTTGAATGAGATCAAGGCCTCCTTGTCTGTCACAACACTTGTAGAGGTGGACTGTGCAAGGGAATAGTATGTGTTTTTGCATGAGAAAATAAGTAGGAGAAAGAAAAGGTGGATGAAAGAGTTTCCCATTTCTAACTGGCCTGGAGATATATTATTACACTCTTGCTGCTTGAGAGGCTGAGAAAGTGTCCTGGGGCGTTTGGTATAAATAGCCACAGTAGGCTAGGTATGAATATTGGGGGGGGGGGGGGGGCGGTCAAATGAACATACAGTAGTAGACTAGTAAGCTTATTGTGTTTTCAAATAGTAGACTAGTAGTTATTATTACAGTTGTAGTAAGCTTGGACTTGGTCGTAAGGACTACCTTTGTATCATGTTTGGTATGACGCATGTTTCCATAATTAAAGAATAATCAAAGAAATAATGGTGAGTAATCCGTACTGCGGATTGTATCAATAAATGAAATATAATACTAATCATTAATAAATGAATTTGTTGCTTATAATGAAAATTATTATACTTTTATGAAAAATTTAAATATTTTTAAATCAAAATACACATCCATGCAAATATGAGTATTGCAATATGACATAGAAATTAAAATATTATTTAATTTTGTTTATAGATGATGTGGGTTGAAACCACATTTTAAAGTACAAAAAGTCTATCATATGTTAAAAGCTTGCAACTATTATGAAACAAAACAATGCAAATTGGTGTAGATGTTCAACAAAAGATGTTTCCTCATTAATGTCAAAGGAGATAATATATTATATTGGCGGGAAATAAAAGATATTTACAAGTTTATCATTATTGTTAAATGAGATAATATTAATATATTATATCTATACAGTAAATATTGACGGGGAACAAAAGATGTTTTCAAATTGCAAAAAGGATGACTTATGATGGTGGGAATCGAACACGTGACATTGTGACTCCTTCAAATGTTGGATGCTTAAAACAAGTGCCAAGTCAATCTACTTAGCTTGGATAGTTGTTCCTATCTTGTACAAATTTTATTTATTTAATTTAATTTCAACCCTATAAATACCCATCCTCGTTCTTTGTAAAATCATACGAATAAATATACAAAATCAACCTCTTCATCCTTTCAGCTCCATTCTCCTGTTCTTCTTCTTATTATTATTAACAGCAACCCCATTTTAAAGTATAAAAAGGCTACCACATGCGGGTAGCCTTTTTGTACTATTTATTTTAATTTTTTATTTTTAATTTTTGATTTTTATAATTGTATTTGTTTATTTTGTACAGTATTGTTTATTTATTTTTAATTATTGTTTTCTTTATTTGTTTTGTTTCTTTTGAATAATTATATTTGTTTATTTTGTATTATGTAATTAAATTATTAATAAATAATTGCACAATATTTGTATACTGATTGATACCCTAAACAATACATACAAATTAAATTCATCATACACTTATTACTCTCCTAATTAAAAATGTATTCTCATGCTTCTCATACATATTTTTTTGAGTTTCACTCATATTCGAATTTATACTTTGTTTAATTTTAATGTCTTCAGATTTCCTACTTTGTTTAATTTTAATAATTTCAATTATTTTGAATTTGTAACTTTTAGTTAAGTTTTTGTTTTACGATTCAAATAGTTATGTAACACGAATTATTTTATTTTAAATTGTTACAAAATATAATTTCTATTTAATTATACAAATAATACGAACACATTTTTTATTTACAAAAAAAAAAAAAAGGTGTACATATTTTGAAGTTTTATTTTTGTTATTTTTAATATTTTATTGTAATTTATATATTAATACATAATAAGTATTGTGTAGATAAATAATATTTATTAATACAAGATAAAAAAAAAAATTGTAATGTGACGTGGAAGTTAGACCACTTTTGAAAGTGATAAAGTATTAGCATTGTAATTTTGATAATGTGAAAGTATGATATACTTTTAAAAATGAGATGATATTTGCATGGATAAAAATAGCCTTATAATGAAAAAAATGTTATACTTTTGACTTTTTGTTTTGTTTTTGTTTTTGTTTTTTTAAAGCTAATACTTTAAATTCATAATATAATATGATCACACTTGTGAGAGACCATCTCATGCAAACGTAATACTAATTATACTAGCAACTGTAGCAAGTATAATACTAAACCATGAATAAAATAATTGTTACTTATAAGAGAAAACATAATATTTTTGAAGACAAATGTAATACTTTTATCCAACTCATAGGTGAAGACTTCGAAACTGGTATCCTAATGAGAATGAAAAGTATTATATTTTCACTTATAAGTAATGTTGCACTTACAAAGGAAAATGTAATACTTTTTACATTAAAATGTTAAAGTATTGCATTTTCTCATAGAAGTAATAAACATTTTATTCTTAATTTAGTATTACATTTGATAGTATAAGTATTACATTTAATGTTGACCCGACTCGTCTCACAAAATAATGATCCATGAGACAATCTTACATAAGTTTTTGCCAATATAATATTAGGAGTTGAAGAATTACTCATGAAAATAAGTATAATACTTATACAAATTAAAAAACCGAATACATCTCACGTATGAGGATCCATGATTGTAATATTTGTGAAAAAAAAATGTAACACTTGTAAAAAAACATGGCATGTTTGACGTATGAAAATCCATGATACGATTTCATATTTTCATCTGAGATATTGCCAACCAATTTTTTTATTTATTAGATTTAGGCTCATTTAGACATTAAACTGCATCATTTTGAATAATTTTATCACAAAGATTATTGTATCCTGTACTCTGTAGAATAATCAAACCGTACTTGTATTATTAGTCAAGACCAACAAACCGCTCCTATTGGAAATTAAAACATTATAGTTACTTTGCTTGCCGTCCAACCGCTAGCTAGAGTTGCCATTTTTCAATATAATTTTTTATACGCTAAGGACTTTGATTCCATGAATAATGGATGATTGGTTGAGCTTCATCGGAGACTCGGAGTGGATTACATGATATACCAGGTCAAGGGGCAAAGCATCACCTGGCGACATTTTCAGATTCTAAGTTCACATTAAAGTTAATTTCAGCAATGGTCCTCCTACTATATTAGTTTTTTAAAATTAGTTCCTGACTTTTAATTTAGACATTTTATGTTTCTTGACTTTCAATTTATTTTTAATTGAGGTCCTTTCGTCAGATTAAGGTAAAGTGGACTTTAAATGAAAGTGTAAAGTAGTCATTTCATCGGCTTAATGTATAATTCTTCGTATTTCTTCATTGTATACGCGACTTCAGACATTAGATTCACTTAATTGCTTAAGCCCTAATGGAATTTTGTTCTTCGAGTTGATTTAGCGATTAAGCAATTAAGTGAATCTGATATTCGAAATCGCGTATACAAGGGAGAAATACGAAGAATTATACATTAGGCAGATGAAATGACTACTTTACCCTTTCATTTAAAGTCCACTTTACCGTAATTTGACGAAAGTACCTCAATTGGAAAGAAATTAAAAGTCAAATGACGTAAAGTGTCCAAATTAAAAGTCGGAAACTAATATTGAAAAATTAATATAGTCGAAGGATCATTGCTGTAATTACCTCTTCACATTATCTCACAATTGAAAGAAAGAAAGAATGTGCTCTATCTAATCTAAAAAAAAAAATACATAAAAAATCTCGATTGAAATTATATTATTGATTTATGTCTGTATTTTATGTGTTGATCTTTTTGTACATTATATTTTAGAATTGCGCTATATAATATTTTGAACAAAAATACCCTTACCATTATAACTTTCACTATTGTTACCATACATATACATCCACTATATATTTTCTTATATTTTTCCGTGATAATAATATATGTAGACATTATATACTAGAATAATATAATTAATAAATAAATAAATTTAAGTTCATTTAGATTGTAATTACTAAGGATTTGTTAGTTATTTTTTGAAATATAAATATCAAATTTATAAAAAATGGGCTAGATTATTGTTGTTGCTGTTATTATTATAATGGAATAAGGGTCAAATAGGCCATCGAACTGCACCCGATAAAACAATTAGGCCACTGAACTTAAAAAACCAACAATTAGGTCCCTAAACTAATCAATTTCAAACAATTTTTTCAATTTGAAGGTTTCCAACAGGTCAACAAGTCATCCTTCCAAATTAATTATTTTTTAAAATTTAAATTTTAAAAATTAATTAGTTTTAAATTAAACTAAAAAAAAAAAAAAAAAAAAAAAAAAAAACTGGTTCCGGCCGGTTTCTTCGTCTCCGGCCGTGGAGACAAAGAGTTTCTTCATCTACAGCCATGGAGAAACTCTTCGTCTCCACTGCCGGAGACGAAGAGTTTCTTCGTCTCCGGCTGGATTCCAGTTTTTTTTTTTTTTTTTAAGTTTAATTTAAAACTAATTAATTTTTAAATTTTTTTTTAAAAAAAAATAATTAATTTGGGAGATAACCTGTTGACCTGTTGGAAACTTTCAAATTGGAATAATTGTTTGAAATTGATTAGTGTAGGGACCTAATTGTTGGTTTTTTAGGTTCAGTGGCCTAATTATTTTATCGTGTGCAATTCGATGGCCTATTTGACCCTTATTCCTTATACAATATAATACAATAATATAAATATCTAAAATCTAAACAAATAAACTTATACGAGTGAACTACTGTTATTATCCATGATTTATGTCTATATTACTATGTTTATTAAGATATATATTGTGCTGCAAATATTGTATTATTATTTTTATCTTATAACATTAAACTTTCGTTAGGCCATCTCCAAGGAGACGGCAAACCCTCAATTCGCCAAATTTTTTAGCGTAAAGCAGCGAAAAAAGTTCTCCAACAAAACGGTAAAACACCAAAAAATTTGGTGTTGATGAACAGTGCCGCGCCATATATGGTGCGGCACTGTTCATCCACGCTATTTTTAGAATTAATTTTTTCTTCCTATTGTGCCCCTGCTTTGCCTTTTATCTTTTTTATAATTCCTTTTGTATCCTTTTTGGTTTTTATATATTTACATATTTTGTTAAATATTTAAATATAAATTGTATATTATTTTTAAAAAAATTATATCATTTGAAAGATCTCATCAAGATGATTAAAACAAGACTAATATTGAATATAATTTAATTAAAAATAAATTTACATAAAAT